TTCATCGTGCAGGATGAGGGCCAGCAGATGCAGGCGAGCTCGGAGACCGAGGCCATGGCGCGGGAGAGCCCCAGGCGGGCGCTGCCGGGCGCGGTGCTAGTCGCCGGATGAAGTGAGGGCTTCACCCCAGCGCGGCCTTAGCTCCCTCGGACGAACCGAGCACCTTGGCGGCAGCTGAGGAAAGAGAAAATCTATCTTATTCTAGATGGCCCTCAGTATTTTGTGCAATATCAACATTCAAAACCTTTAATAATTTAAATTAATTTTAAGGAGGTGTAAATACAGCATTAGTATAGCAAAAAGATGAAATAATTGTTTCATGAAATTGTAGCCAATAATGGTAATTTCAAATTAAATTTAGAAGTCATGAAACGATCGGAATGATTAGTGAGTCAAAGATCAATTCCTATAAAAAGCATAATCCTTCTTATCATTGAAAAATACAACACAGGGCAAATTTGACGTGAAAAGTGAGCACCAAAACAAATCAAAATGCAACACTATTACTACAACAGTCACAAATGTACATACAAATACTCAAAAAAAGTCTAATTTCAGGAATGCAACTACAGTATCTTTGGGCAAGTTCCAACTTCAGTTTTCACATCTCTAAAGTCATGAAGTACATGTTCTTCAAAACCCCTTTAAATTCTTACATTCTTTTATCTTAGGATTACACACAATATACATTAGCTGACGTGTAAGTTGTCAATACCTTCGTGATCGCCTACTTACAAAGCAGTATGCTGAGTGTCACAAGGGACACAGAAGTAGTCTCCCTGCCCTCATCAGTGGCGAAGGCAGACATTTGAACTGGCAGTGAATTGGAGCTATTACAGCTGTTGCAGAGCAAAGTCCCACTGTGGGAAGCTCAGAAATGGATGAGAATAAATATGTGATAGACTTCCACCGATGAGAAAGGAAAGACATTCAAGCAGCTAAAATGTCACAAAAACAAACAAGATACGACAGAAAATGGAGAAAGATAGTTTAGCAGGATAAAACAAGTGAAATGTAAAACTTTGAAAAGAGCCAAATTAATAAAAGAATATGAGTATATATATGAATTTGTTACAAAAAAATTTGAGCAATGAAATAATAAGCGACTGGGGCTTTGGGTGTATTTGTTTTACAAAATTGAAGGGCAGGAAAGAGAAAAGATGTATTGATCTGAATACATTATATATTTACAAATATGTATATCCACTCCTACTAGATAACCAGAGGAAGGAAGGACAGTCTAGATTTGGCCTTTTAAATACTAAATACACATAAAGTACTAGGAGGGACTTCAAATGTAATCACAATTTGTCAAGCTAAAATTAGAGTAATTCAGAAGGAAACATTGCTTAAATAAGTCATAGCTAAAAAATTATGGCACTATCCAAAAATATACAGAAAAATAATAATCTATAATTTTCCTTAATGTCACTTAGGGCCAAAATTAAAACCCATTTTTTTAAATTGAAGTATAGTTGATTTACAATGTTGTGTTAGTTTCAGGTATATCACATAGTGATTCAGTTATACTTATACATGTTCTTTTTTTTATTATAGGCTGTTACAAGGTACTGAATATAGTCCCCTGTGCTATACAGTAGGACCTTGTTATCTATTTTATATATAATAGTATCTGCAAATCCCAAACTCCTAATTTATTAAAAAATATGGAATTTGCATGTAACCTTTGTGCAGGGGCCATGCTCATATCTGCATCTTTCCAGTTTTATATATGTGCCTCTGAAGGAAGCACAAAACCCATTACTTTTTAAGTTAAGTTAAATGTTCTGGGAAAATGTAGAAACAAAGCCAGATGTTGTAATTCTCCCAACACCTAGTGAAATACATATTCCTACCACCCACAAAATATGTGTCATTAGGGCAAGAACTATTTCCTCCAAAGTAATTAAGCAGTTATTTTTACTTCCCTATATGAACTATAATAGAAGGTATTCAAATAGCTATAGCTGATTAGAGAAAATTTCTCTTTATAGAAGAATTTCAGCTAATAAGTGTGGAAGGAATGAAAGAAAAGAACAACATTAGAAAATCACAATTTTGCAATGAGGAGAACTTGTACAATGCAGAGACCTGGCCGTCACCACCTAAATCCACTGATCATAATAGCATCACTTAAGTAGTAAGTCCAGGCACTTGTACCCCTTGATGTGATGCAGGGTAAAGTAGACAGCACACCCTATGTTCTTAGCAAACAAATAAACAAAAATGGAAGCTAAATTTAAATATTCAAATGTTTAAATATGAGTTTCAAGTAACTGGAAATGCAGAGAGAAAAGCATGAAAAATTTTACAATGAAAAATCTTTTAAAGTATCCATCATTATTTGGAGAACTACTGTGACTGTTATTTGACTAGATTATGGGATTTGTGGAGACATGTGGGAGCAGAAGAAGTGGCAGGTGGAAGCTGTGGTAAGCTCATGGAATTCCTTAAATGTTATATCAAAGAATCTGGATTTTATTCTCAGGTTAGCCTTTCCCAAAATGTGTTCTGGGATGTTGATATACATTCTTCACTATTAAAAGGGTGAGATGGGTGTTTCATTTTTTAAATAAGTTTAGGGAACATTGTATTCTATATTCCTTTCAGTTGGCTGAATACCAGTATTTTGTATTCTGTATTCTGCTTTATTAGATCACTAAGAAATTCTCCACCACAATAAAACAGACTTTTTTAAAGTCCTTTGATGTTCAAAACTCTTCTTACTCCTGCTAATTCCCTAATTCTTTAGATCAGAATTGATACTCTCTAGCACAGCCTAAAATTGTGAATATTACACTGTATAGACAGTAAATGAAATAAGGATAAGATAGACATGGTTTCAGATTCTGAGACCAGTTTCCTTGGGATTCACATCCAGACAACAGCATGGTTTAGAGCTCAGCATAGAAAGTGAACAGGCCAAAACAAAATGCAATCTGTTCTGGAGCACGTTCAGGTCTGTAGTCACTAACTTTTCTTGGTAACATTTCATAACTTTTATTATTACTGTTTTATTTTTCCTAAATTTGCATGATTATTTTTTCTTATTTATATATTACTGTTGATACAAATATCTTACAACTTGCATACACTTCAGACAAGAAATATTGAGTGTATGCCCCCTATGTGTGTGTCCCTAACATCTCTATCTTCTTAATATCCTGGAATAAAGCATCTTTGATTTGGAAAATAATTCTTGAAAGTAGGCACTTTTAAGTATTTTATTAATAATCAAGGGAATTAGAACTTTGAACTGAAGACTTTAAAAAGAAACTCTAAAATATACAAATAGTGATTAATATATTCAGTACTTTACATATTAACTAATCATGAAGCCAGAAGGCAATTCCTCTGAATGTTTTCTTATATATATCTTTGGAAGGGTCAAAAATATTTTTAACTATTTTTAATCTAATTAATTCATTTGCCAATAAGTGGATTTTATTTCAAAACAAACAGCCATGATATGTTTTCATGTGACAAAAATTTATGTAGCTCCATGCTTGATAAAATCACTGTGTCATACCAATGTACTGGAAATAAATGTCAACAATAAAATAAACACCTAATATAATTTTTTAATAATGAGAAGCTGAAAATAAGTTGAAATATTTCAAATGTTCCAAATTACATTCTAAAAAACTTACATTGAAAAGCAACTAACAAAATCAAAATGAAT